GAAGCAGGCGCGGTCTAAGAGAGGGGTTCCGGGCCCGCTGGGGCCACAGGGAGCCCCGGGCGCAAAAAGACCAAACCAAACAAAAACCCAACCCCCACAAAAAAAAAAAAACAAAAAACCAACAACCCTGGAAACAATAACCAAAAAAGACAGCAAAGAACTGACTGTTTTCTAGAAAACCCATCTCATTTATTCCAAAGGCTAGTGTTTGTTCCACTTTATAACTGGGATCTGGAGTTTTGTGTATTCATTGAGAGGGGAAATTACTGCTGGTGTTTCCAGAGAAGAGTTGCCTGTTAAAGTTAGTTGTCAGGGTGGTGCAATGGCTCCAGCAGGTAAAGGTGTTTACTGGCAATTCTGGTGACCACAGAGTTTGATCCCTGGACCCACAGGGTGGAAGGAGAGAACCAGTTGTCCTGTGATCTCCACATGCATGCCATAGCATGTGCACACACATGAACAACAAACAAAGATATTTGTCCACTAGAGAGACAGAGGCAAAAGGATCACTGCAAGTTTGAGACCAGCCCAGTCTATGTAGGGAGTTCCAGGCCAGCTACAGCTATATAGTGAGATCCTACACAAAACAAAGTAATAAAATAAAGCCAGTAGTCTGTGAGAAGCCTGTGATCCTTGGTTCAAAAGACATGCAGGAAGCGTGCACCCTGCCCCTTGTTGCCTGTCCGTGAGATTTTTCCCTCAGATGGGGTTGGTCTGCCCTGAGTAAGCAATGATGAAGCTGACCTTCGTCTGCCACTCTCAGGGAACCTGAGCATGGCATTCTATGCATGTACCTCTATTTTCAAATCTACAGTCATCCCAGAGCAAAACCTGAGGTCCAAATTATGAAACTGAGAACACCAATGAATTGGATAACTAACAGCGTGCCTCGGAAAGGGATATATGGGCTTTGATGTGAATGAGTGCTGGGTGTGGCTGGGGTCATCCTCTTAGAGCAGTAATAATGGAGCCCCCATTTCCTGTGCCTAAAATGATCAGGTCATTGAGAACTTGTTTTGGAGCTGTAGACCCCAATGAGTATTGATGGCTTAAGAACTTTCTAGACTGGAAAAGAATGTGCCAACAAGATTTCTCCCAACTGCAGACTCCAGCCTTGCTCTGTCTTCCTGGGAAGCAGCATGTGTGTTTTTAGTATGTAATGTCACGTGGGCTGTGGCACTTCTGGGATGGAATGCTCATGTTGGTACAATGGGTCCACTCCTGCCCCTTGAATACAGTTCGCCCTCTGCCTTTCGATGCGGTCTCACCCTGTTTTTCTCCATTTTTCAGTTCCTTTGTCCCTGTCTCGTACCTTTGTTGTCAGCAGAACAGAGTTGTTAGCAGCAGGTTCTCCAGGTAATTCTGCATGCTTCCTTTTCCTAATTCCCAACTGACTGCTTCTGACCATAGGAAGGCCTGGCCGGCCAGGCTGCACACTATATTCCAACAAGCTGTTCCATTTTCCTTGAGCCCTAAAACTCTAAGGTTGTCTGATTTAAGAGGGAGCTGTCTAGGAAAACATGAGACACAGCAGGTGCACAGAGAGTTTGGGAGGCCAGAACGGAACTCTGGTCCATGAACTGCAATGAACAGGGCTGGCCATTGCATCCCCTGCATCCCGCCTGCTCAGACCCGGAGCGTGCAGGTCCATCACTGGCCTTATTCTGACTGCAGAACATCATGGGATGATCTTTACTTGGCCAGCAAGAAAAATACCCCATCCACAGAGGAGCTGCACTCCTGGTTGTGTGCACTTTGTGCACCTGCCCCGGGAGCTGGCCTGTGCATTTCTGCTGTCCTCAGGCAGGTGGCCCTGCTGCTCCCTGTCTCTCGAACTTTGTTTTGGAATTAGTTCTGTGCACATTCCTAACCAGCTTCTGATTATCTCCCTGCAGGAGAATTTGGCTGTGCTTAACAGGGCCAGCCATTGAAAAGAAAAGGTTTAATCTTTCTTTAATTAAAATTGCTTGGCTGTAACTGAGCATGGTATGGTACACACCTGTAATCCCAGCCCTCAGACGTCTGAAGCAGGAAAAGTGTTAATTCAAGATCAGCATGGGCTACATACATAAGACCCTGTCATTGAAAAAAAAAAAAACCTGGTGTGGTAGTGCACGCCTTTAGTCCCAGGCAGAGGCAGGCAGATCTCTGTGAGTTCAAGGCCACCCTGTTCTACATATTGAGTTCTAGGCCAGCTGGGGCTACAGGGAAACCTTGTCTGAAAAAGACACACAAAAAAGAAGCAAGGTGTTGTGACGCACACCTTTTATCACATGCCTTTAATCCTAGCACTCAGGAGGAAGAGGCAGGCCTGGTCTACATAGCAAGTTCTAGGCTAGCCAGGGACTAAAAAAAGGGAAAAAACGTTGGGCATGTCTGTTAGGTAACACAACTGTTTCGTACTAATTTTTTTCCTCATACAGCTTGTGTTTTTTACTTAACTGATGAAAGTTTACACATTATAATCCAATTTCAGACAAACTCTAGAATGCTTGAATATTTGAAGGAGGCAATGATTATCATAGAAGGAAATAAATTAATGTTTCTTTAAATCTTTGCTGTAAGCCATATTTGGTGGTTCATGCCTCTAATCCCAGTGCCCATGGATTCAAGGCTAGCCTGGGCTATATAGTAAGTTTGAGGCCAGCCTGGCTACAACATGAGACCCTCTTCAGAAACCCAAACCAGGGCTGGAGACATAGCTCAGCTGGTAAAGTGCTTGCTGCGAGAGGATGAAGACCTGAGCACCCATGTAAAAGCCAGGCATGGCGGTGTGCATTTGTCATCCCAACACAGGTGGAGATAGGGGACCCCTGGGGCTCACGGGCCCACCAGCCTGGCTTAATTAGTGAGCCCCAGGTTCCAGTGAAAGACCCTGTCTCAAAAACAAGCAAACAAAAAAGGGTGGACAGCAGCAAGAAATGATTCCCAAGGTTGACCTCTGGCCTCCACACACACATCTACCCACTGTTCTAGTTTGTTTCTCCATCGATGTGACAAAACACTCTGACCAATAATACCAACTTGGGGAGGAAAGGGTTTATTTGGCCTACATATCCTGGGTCACAGTTCATCAGGGACCCCAAGGTAGGAACTCAGGGCAGGAACCTGGAGGCAGGAGCTAAAGCACAGGCCATGGAGGAATGCTGCTTACTGGCTTGCTCCCCTGACCCATGCTGAGCCTGCTTCCTTAAACAGTACAAAACAACCTGTCCAGGGGTGGCACCACTCACAGTGGGCTGGGCCCTCCCATATCACTCAAAAATCAAGAAAATATCCTGCAGACATGGCCACAGGCCAGTCCAATGGAGGCAATTCCCCAACTGAAGCTCCTTCAACATAGGTGTGTCAAGTTGACAACTATCCAGCATACCTACCACACATGAACATGCACACCCCCCCATACACATTTACACAGTCACATAAGAAAAAAACTTTGCTCTTAATGTTTTAGGGTGTCTGGGAATAAGATATTCATAGTTATTTGAATCAAACCAGCTAGCAGAATACACATGTTGTATGTGCATAGATACATGTACATATGCATGTGTATTTTTTCTTTCATTTTATTTGCTTGCATTTGCTGACTGTTTAAAAAGTCCCAGATACCAAGGCTGACAGCTTTCAGCTAAAGCCTGTGGAAGCAGCCTTCACATCTTACCTTTTCTGTGGGATTCAAGATTTCCTTGCTATGCATTCCATCTGCTCCAGGGATAGAAAAGCCCATGGGCAGGTCCTGGCCCACAGGCACACTGGCATTGCAATAACTACTTTCATGAGTGAGGTTAGACTAAGCCAATGATACTCTGCCTCTTCTAGAAGGTGCCTTTTAACTTACTGCCAAACAGAAAGGATTCCTAGGTAGGATGGATAAAATAAGCTGAATTCAGAAAATGGAAAACCACAACAAAACAATGCTGAAAAGGTTTTATTTTTGTTTTTGTTTTGTCTTGCCTTGTCTTTGAGACTAAGTCTCTGTAGCCCAGACTGGCCTCAAACTTGAACTTGCTGTGTAGCTGAGGATGACCTTGAATTCATGATCCTCCTGCCTCTACCTCCCAAGTGCTAAAATTATTGATGGGAACCACCATGCCCAGCTAAAATTGAAGTTTCATTCATTATTATTGTCATAGAACCTTGACACATAAATTTGGCAGTAAAACTTGACCCGAAATGTGGGGGTGGGGAGCCTTTGTTCTGTGGGCTTGGAATCTCCTGTGTCTCAACGAAGGTGAGTTTGTGAATTAGAGGACTGCTCCACAGCTGCTGGACAGTGTATAGTGTGGGGCACGTATGGACCATGTTACATTTAGGAATTTTAGCCCTTTATCCCAATGTCTTCAGATAAAGGATGTGGACTTGAATCATTCCTTTTTTAATTAAACAAACTAATTGAAGCTTACCCTGTGGTACAGAAATACATTTCAACTGATTCAAGTGTAGCACCAATGAAGAAGGAAATTATAGGACCCAAATTTTCTCTCCTCTATCACACTATTCAAACAACAGGGTTTTTTCTAGGCCTCTGTTCTACACACATTTGTGCAAATTTTCAACATTAGAGTTATTAATTCTATAAGGGGGTAGAAAAATGAAACCTTAAGGCAACAAAAGTCATCGATCTACTGGGCTACTCTTCTGAACCAACATCCTCTTTAAGCATTTATCCTTGGCAACAGAGCAAGACAACGCATTAGGTACTTAGAATTGAAATGATAAAGCTAATTGAAAGCTTTCTCAGTGAATCACACAATCAGCAGCATGCTAAGAAAACAGTGTTTAATAAGTCAGCACTATGTTCCAAGCACTTGACCAAACCAAGTAGATTCTATGTTTAGAAACACTGGGCAGGGGAAAGGTTTCCTATATGTATATGAGAGGAACAACGTATCACTACATCAGTCCAGAAACTTGTCAAGAAAATATTGAGGACAATAAATACAAAATTTAGTCAAGTTTGCTCTTTTCTCAGTTGCTTAAATTCCCACAATATCTGCGAATATAGCTAAAAGATGCCATTTCTTAAAAGCCTGTACTTCTAGTCTGTTCCCATTAGATACATTCAGAATGTTGTGTTACATTTTCTCCATTCATACATTCTGCTACTTGGCCATCTGAGTAACTTGCATAGTCCTCATTCAGGGTAGACTTTGATTTGTGAATACCATGGTGAAAGGAATATTAGGAACAGGTGAAGTCAGGACAGCTCACACACATCACAAAACCATAGAGCTTTTTGAGTCACAAGATGGAAAAGCCACAGATTCTGCTTTGAACCAATGTTCAGCTTTATACTATTGATAGACACTGGTGGCAGTGGTTGCTAAAAGAAGTTAAGGTCCCTGGTCCAAGGAGACTGGACTTACTGAGTTAAGGACATTTATGCTCAATCTCCCTGCTTGGACTTAGTGATTTAAAAAAATCTTTTCATATGGGGTCGGAGAGATGGCTCAGTGGTTAAGAGTGCTTATCACTGTTGCAGAGGACCCATGTTCGGTTCCTAGCCCCCACATCCAGTGATTCACAGCTGTCTATAAGTTCAGTTCCAGGAGATGATGACCTCTTCTGGTCTCTGAGAGCACTGTACCCATGTGCACAAATCTCTCTCTCTCTCTCTCTCTCTCTCTCTCTCTCTCTCTCTCTCTAGCGCTCTCTCTATGTGCACACATCTCTCTCTCTCTCTCTCTCTCTCTCTCTCTCTCTCTCTCTCTCTCTCTCTCTCTCTCTATTTTTAAAAATCCTTTTATAGCCACACTTAGCAAGATAGTAAAGGAATGGCTCTATTGGAAGTACTTTCTAAAGAGCATTGGATAGCCAATGGAGTCCACAGAATTCAGCTGAGGAGCATTGGATAGCCCATGGACGCCACAGAATCCAGCTACATCTCCATCTGATTTTCTATTGTTCCTGCTGTCTGATCATCCCTGGAAACTTTTAATCTTTTGCATTTTGAGGCCTCAGTTTTGTCATTTATCTTCCAAAAGAGCTCATACCAATAAGGAGGCCACACTCCCATTAGTACACAAACCCACAGTTTGATAGTGTAGTGCTCTAACTGAGTGGTTGGGGAGTAGGAGAGACACTGTAGTGAGGGGAGAAACCAATTGAAGGACTACAAGTGCAGAAACTATTATTCAGAAAATAACACACAAAATGGATGACTGAAATCATTTTTTCCAGAGGACTTGATGTGTAGAAGAGAAAATGTAATTGCTATTGACAAAAAACATCTGTGTGATGAAATGAGTTGTTAATAACATCTGTGGAGAGTATGTTCTAGAAAGTGCAGGTAACCATATGTAAAATTCTAGCAGCACTTTAATAAAACAGTCCCAGATGGTTAGCTGAGACCAGCATCTAATGAGGATGAAAGCCTTGTCTCTCAGGGAGCTTGGGCAATACTTGCAGAAATAATACATTATGTACAAGCCAAGCTTTTGCAAAAGTGGTGGGAAGTCTCATACGTCAAAGCTTTTTTTCCTATACATATTTCAGTTTCACAGCAAGAATGACAGAATGTATAAACACAGAAAACAGTGTTCATGCAAGATGCCTAACTCCAGGACAAGCCCACTTCAGAATGATGGTGCTATCATTACAGTAGGCCTTTCTGCAATGGTGAGGTAGTAAAAGACGCCCCTCAGTATCAGCATCTAGAAAGCAGCTCCCACTATGTAACCCCCCTTCTATGTAACTTTGCTTTTTGCATTTTTTTCATCATTTTTTTTAACTCCACTGTTATTTAATGCTGCTTGGCAAAACTGGTAAAACAAATTGTAATCATTGGACATCGTAGCCCTATGCCATCCAGGACATCTAAAACATTCAATCTAGAGCCCAAGAGATGGCTCACAACCTGAGTTCAGTCCCAGGGACCCACAAGGTGGAAGAAGAGAACCAGTACCCGCAAGTTGTCCACTGGCCTCCATATCTGTGTCATGGCTCACTTGAGCTCTCCATCCCAAATTTTAAAAAATGTAATAAAAATGTATAAAAATAAAAACCGTAGGTCCCCTGGGGTGAAGAAAGCTCAATGTGACATTTAGAGTTCTAGTTAACAAACAAGGCAGATTTTCCCAATGTGGAGACTTCCACAATTTTCCTGATCAGGGACCCAAGAGATCTGACTTAAGCTTGTTTCAAAGCTAACAGAGGAAAATTCTGGTTCTGGAATTAAGTTCCATTCAGTTTCATTCCACTTATCAACAAGCATAGGACAGAACCTGGTATTGGGATGAATTCCACCCTCACAGGTGACATCCTTTGTAATAACACCATCTTCCCTGAAGAACTGGCCCATAATTGCTGGGTCAGGCTCATTTCACAGAAGAGAAGAGTTTGACCTGACTCCCTGATGACCCAACTTTTAGAACTCCAAAATACACAGGCACCCACAGTCAGCGTGTACAGCGTGTGGCTCCATCTGCAAGGTCACACTAGGCTCTGTTTCTTCCTGCAGGTTCTGGTGTGGGTACCTTGTAGAAAGAGCTTCATTATATTCTTATGAGATCAAAAGCAACTTCGAATTGAGTCAAACCCACTGTAATCTCTAGCAAGCTTCCCCAGGGGAACCAGTGCTTTCAGCAAGAGGATGGTACTTCATTCTTCAAAGTGAAGCCTCTCAGAGGCAAGCCTAGCACAGAGGCTTCCTGCCTGTCAGTTCCTGTCACCTCGGGATTGAACATTATGCACCCTTCAGAAATACCCATCACTCGAGTCTTAGGAGAGTGCACAGACTGCTAGATCCTGGTTTGTACAGGACTTCTACCTGGAGAGCCACACCTCCAGCAGTTTCTCTGTCCTTTTGAAAACATGTAGCTTCCGTCATAGTAGTGAACAAGCAACAGCCACAGAAAGTCAACTAAATCAAATCTCTTCCCAAAAAAGCCATGAGTTGTGTCTCCAGGCAGTCACATCAGGCCCCTATGGCACTGTAGAAGGGATGTTGGGTAATGGGTAGCTTCTCCAGGCTGTGGCTGTGATAACAAGCAAAGAAGGTGCATCCTGCAAAAACAGAAGGTTGTGCTCAGTAACAGAGCCCAGAAGAATGCCAGGGCCCTGACCTTCCCACAGCAGTGCCCAGAGTCTGGCCAAGAAGCAACAAGCCCTCTAGGAGTCTTGCTCTTAATACCTTGACATTTTATATTTTATTATTTTTAATGTGTATGAATGCAATGCCTGCATTATATAAGTTTGCCCGTGTTGTACAATGCCTGTGGAGGTCAGAAGAGGTTATTAGATCCCCCTGGAACTGAAGTTATAGAAGGTTGTCAGCTGCCATGTGGGTGCTGGGAACTGAACCAGGTTCCTCTGTAAGAGCAGCCAATGCACTTAACCACTGAGCCATCTCTCCAGCCCCTACCTTGACATTTTAACACTTGAAAGTAAACATATTCAGAAGTATGTGTGGGAAAAAATGATTTGTGGCTGAAGCCCAGAGATATAGTGGGATTCCTTGTTTAAAAGAACTGATGGGTCTGTTGTCATGGGTAACGTTATTGTGTGGGAAGGCTTGATACCGAGGGCAGGAGCATGGTGCTAAGGACTTGGCAGAAGCTAACAGGAAAGAACAGAAAATGTCAACACAGTGCATTGATTAGTGCTTACTAGGTATCAGATGCTGTGCTAATTAAGCACCTTATGCCTTATCTTAGTCTGAACCCTCAGACCATATGAGATGGGTAGTATTATTGTGTACATTTTACAGATAAGGAATCTGAAAGTTAGCAAAGTTATGTCACCTGTTCAAAGTCCATGGTACTAAATATAAAACATTGATAAATTATTAATGTGCCTTGTTCTCTAAGAAGATCAGAGGTAACAAGAGGAACTAGCTGCGCCTAAGTGGGATTTTGGCCAGTAGTGGGAAACTAGTGCATGACAGCTGTAGAGATGACATGTGACAGGGAACCTGGATGAAAGTGGGCGTGTTATTTGAGAGTCCTGGTGTACTGATGTTTTGTCTTATTTTAAGTGGGTTGTTTACCAAATGATGTTTACCTTGGTGATCAGAATGGGCCGAGGGCTTGGCAGCACTGTGAAGAACAGCCAGAGAGAAAACTTCAGTGCAACATAGCTCTTCAGAATCTGCAGGGCTGTTTCAGGTCGCTCCGTGGCACTCAGAGTACAGATCTGACTAGCCTGTCATGTGAAGTAGAGAGGTAGACTTTGATCATGGTCATAGGCTCCAGTAGTGGAAGAGCAGGACCAGCCACAGCTGTTTTGTGGGGGCATCTGTTAGGGACATTGGAAGATGAGAGTGGGTCCCCTCCACTCCTGTGGCGTTCTGCAATTCAGAGCCATTAATATCTGCTCCCAGTTAATATCTGTGCAGTAAAGTTGGTTAGAGAAGCAAAAATGGAAGACGCCTCAGTGGACCCGTGTGCTTTATTTTTAATGCAATTTATCTTAAAAGCTCCAGGGAATATTCTCGGAGAAAGAATGCTTAGATTTTCCTTCATCTCCTTTCCCTGTATCTTCTGGAAAGATTGCTCTCAAAATCTCACTGCAGAGTCCCACAGCACCTAAGACACTGTACCCCCTCCAAGGGCTTCGTGTCACCTTGTGTTCTTGAATGCTTTGAGGCATCCTTGAGCTGAGTGATGGGGTATGAGGCAGAACTTCGGCAGGGTAGACTTCGAAACTTTGTTTTGGCTTCTGGCAGAATAATGAAAAGCCTTCTGGTGGCCCTTGTTAGTATCAGATAACTTCTCTGCACTGGGCCTTGGCCTGTTCCCATCTATGCATCTCAGTGATATGCCTTATGAGGTGGGTTCCCAGCTGTAGGGTCTGTTATACTTGGCCTTTCACTCAGAAGAACCCTGTCTGTCACAGCTGAGACACACGCAGCCTGCTGCCAGAGAGAAGCTGGTGTGTGCTGTGAGCCATGTGACCATCTTCTTTAAGCCAGTTGTACTTATGTGATAATTATTTTTCATTGGGAAATAAAATGCTCACCATTAGCTATACTGACTGTAGTAACTCCTTCCTCTCCTTTTCTAGGTGAAAATAAGTCACCTCCTCGCCCCTGTGGCCTGAATCACTCAGATTCTCTCAGTCGAAGTGACCGGATCGATGCAATGACACCAACATTGGGGAGCAGCAATAACCAGCTCAATTCTTCATTCCTTCAAGTCTACATCCCTGATTACTCAGTACGAGCCCTTTCTGACCTGCAGTTTGTCAAGGTAAGTGGAGGAAGGCTGCTTGGCTGGACCCAGCAGGTAGATGATCAACTTCAGTGATAGCTTGTCCGCCTCCCACCCCACCACTGAGCTGTCCCTCTACCGAGCAGAGCACCCTGCCTCCCTCTGCTGGGCCCAGCACTCAGGCTAGGAAACACAGATTTCCTTGGCTCCATTTGATGAACAGCCAAAGCAAATGTGGTCTTGGCAGGGAACTGGAGCTGGAGATGAGGTAAAGAACCATTTTCAGAGTTCTCTGGAGCCCATGGCTGGTGAGTCTCTGGTTGACCTAGAGAGCACTCGGTTGGGAGACTCAGGCTGAGGAGACTCAGAGATGGGGGAAGAACCTCCTCTTTCTGTCCTGGAGACAGCGCTTCCCTTAGTCTGACATAAAGACATCTTTGAGAACAAGCCAGCTTTGGCTGATGGAAGCTAAATCCCATTTTCTAGTCTCTGAAAGTAAGAGACAAAATTTGAATTACAGAATTAAGAATTGACTTGTTCCCTAGAATCAACTTGAACTTTACAAAGTGGCTCGTTTTCAAATCAAGGATGAATTTCTCCTAGAGAAACAGCTTTGGGCCTTTTGGGTTGTTGAGTGCAATTTTTTTTTTTTGACAGACCTAAAAGTAAGTCTTGTCTTGGTTTATTTTCTGTTTCATCTTCTTCTGGCCCCAGATCTCCAGACAGCAATACCAAAATGCCTTGATGGCATCCCGGATGGATAAAACCCCTCAGTCTTCAGACAGTGAAAACACTAAAATTGAATTGACTCTTACGGAGCTGCATGACGGGTTGCCAGATGAGACGGCCAACTTGCTCAATGAACAGAACTGTGTGACACACAGCAAGGCTAACCACAGCCTGCACAACGAAGGCGCCATCTAGGGGCGCTCGTGGGCCCTCCTTGCCTGACCCCCTCCTGAGGCTCTGCCTCTATCTGACCATGATTTCCACTAGTGTGAGCTTGTGTTCCATGCTGCGTCCTACAACATTGAGACCAAAGACTCTGCCCCTTTCCTGGAAGCCGTGGTGGACGGCATGGGGAGGGATGGAAACTAGACGTGTGACGTTGACAGCTGGGGCATGGCATTCAAGAATTCCGAGACAAACTTCCGCCCAAATAGAATCATGTTTATTTTTTCAGCTGTACCTTTTATCATTACTCTCCTCCTCCCTCGATTTGCATGAAGTTGAAAATTGTTGCAATTTATTTTTTCAAGAGATTTTTTTTTAAGTGTCTTCTGCAGAGTTTTAAGTTGTTCTGTCTGAACTCTGCTATGAGCCCATGATGTGACCCTAACAGAATGGACTTGCCCTTGAGTGGCCTTTCTCAACCCTCCCTAGGAAGGATACCCTTCCTCTGTGCCCCAGTGGGTGTCACTGTCGAACTTGATGGATGAATGAAGAAAACCATGTCACTGCAGAATATGCCAAGTCTGTTGTCACTGGGGGGTGTCGCCAGCAGAACATGCAGGCGCCCCTCTGCACTCAGTGTTGTTTGGAAAATTTGATGTTTAACCATGTCCCTTTCCCTCAGGAAGGTTTAACATTTGCTTGCGAATATGATTTTGCTCCCACCCTAAGGACTTTTTATCACCAAAATGAATGTTAATGAATTTTAAACCCATGGTTTATCACTGGCAAGAGGCAAGTTGACATCATCCTGACATTCCTCCAATCTGGGGTGGCCTGGGATGTGGGCTTAGCCAGTCCTCCTCCCCCACCCCAGTGCACAGAACACCACTCACCTTCCCAGCCCTTGCTGTCCTTCCTAGCCCTCACTCTTGGTACCCCAAGATGCTGCTACATAGATGCCAAATGGAAACCTTCCATGGGCTTCTTAGTAAATGTGGTGTGGAGGCTGTGTGCTTCCCTTTCCCACTGGGGTGTATGTAGTTATCAGAACAGGAGATGGACTCTGTAGTTGGGGCTGAGAAGGCATTTCTAAAACCCATGTTTTTAAAAGAAGGATCTTTGGGGACTGCTAGTCCCTGTCCCTCCTTCCAGAGAGCTCACCATCCCTCTTCCCTCTTCCCCTCTGTCTCTGGGCTGCGGGGCCCAGCAGTGAAAGTATCCCCTGCCCAAAGGCTCCTGTGCCTCCTGCTTCAGATGTGGCCAGTGCCAGAGAGGCTGCCTCCACAGCCAGGGTCAGTTTGGCCCCAAACAGGGATTCAGAAACCAAATGTGTGTTGTGGCCATTTTCTGTGTGTCTCCACCTTATTTTAATACCAAATTTACCATGTGCCACAAAATTCATGTCAGCAGGTATTCCTTGGGTGGCTGACTGTGTGTTAAGTGTTAGCCAAGGGATATGCCCATCTTGCTGGTGATAATCATACACTGAAATTAACTCCTAATCACACTGTTCAGTAGGATTTTCACTACCTAGGTCACTAGTGAAGAAGAAAGCCTTCCTCTGTGCTTGGGCTTCCTGCACAGGGAGCCTAGGGGCACAGCGTCAACCTCCTGCCTCAGGTAGGAAGTCTGCTAGCCCCACATTGGGTTCTGGGAGGGTGACATGCTTGCTTGGTCTCCTGGTGGATGGTTGGTGACTCTGGAAACTTATTTTCTTTTTTGTGGTGCTGGGGGTGGAACATAGGGCCTCATGCATGCTGGGCAAGTGCTTTACCATTGAGGTATACCTGCAGACCTTGGTTTGGGCATCTGGTGCCATGTTCACTGACACACAGTTATCCTGGATAGCAGTCCTGGGGTGTTGTCCTCAGAAGGTGCCATGCCTGTTAGTAAAGCAGAGCTGGCCTCACTTGATGGTCATTGAGAGTAGCCCCTAAAGGGTCTGAGTGGTCTGCTGCTAACATCTGCCATCTTGGGATGGAGTTCCCACCACACTGAGTACCTTTTTCAGATAACCACCCTAGTAAAAAAGTCTATTTCCTAAGGAGCATTTAGCTGAACACAACCCAGGCATTACGTGCAGTATACAGATGAGGGCTCTGTGGGTTTGGCCAGGGCCAGGGTCTCTTACCCCCAAAACTGCCACTCTGCCCAGTGGTATGCCTTCTCTGAGGCCTGGGAGCCAGGAGGCCCAACTAAGGCTTTCTGGCAGTGAGGCACTCCACTGTCAACCTCTCAGGGGTCATGCACAGCCTGTATCAGCCAGCCTTGCTAGAAGGAGCCTCCAGAGAAGCATGTATTGGTCTTTCCAGAGCCACACTTTCTTTCGTGGATCCCAGGGTATGGGAGTCTGGGGAGGAGAGAAGCACTAGCACTGCCTGTCTGTCAGAACAGAACTCCTTCCCACTTTCCCTGCCTAGTGTGGTGGCTTTGGGTAGAGTTCTCTTACAAAGGAGCTGGTTGGAAAGGGCTGTATGAGGGCAAAGGATGAGGCTGTAGCCTACAAATTTGTCTACTTACCTTTGACTGTTCATACTGTTTTATCAGCATAATTCCTGTCTGGTTCTTGAAGGAACGAAGGTGACCTTCTAGCTGTAGTTAGAGCTGCTCTGGGGAAAATTAAGAACCCTTCAAACAACATGTGCATCTGGATGACCAAAGGCCTCTTCCAGGTCCTGCTTTCCCCCTGCAAACAGACTCCTCAGACAGCTGAAGGAGGGACACTGGCAGAATGGTCTTGGCTAGGAAGGCCCATGTCATCTGTGGCCTGATCCCATGGGCATCACAGACAGAAAATACTGGCTATTTGAAATTGCCATATGCAGTGGCTCCTTCCTTTGTAGCTCTGGCCTGTAGTCCTGAGGGCTCCTGTATGCGGTTATGGGAAGGAGGGTATCAGGCGGCCAGACACAGGCTTCTTGAGTTCGGTTGCTGCTGGGCCTAACCCTCTTCCACAGTGCTGTCTAGAGTCACTGCTGCCAGTCAGAAGACAGGGCAGCACCTGGAGCTGGATTCCTAGTATCCAAATGTTCCCTGGACACTGCCTTTGTAAATGAAGGGTCCTTCATATTACTGTTCATTTACAGGCAAGTCCAAAATCTTAGGAGAGAGAATCCTAAAATTTGTATGTGAGTTTTGGGGTGCTAATCAACGAGCTTAAACTTTGGTTCTTAATGTGAAGGTGCCGCATACAGTTCTCATTTCCTCTTTCCTCCCTGTGGGTGTGGTTGACCACCTCAGAGGGAGCTGAGCCTCATGCCACTTTCTCATTCCAAGAAATCTGTGCAGATGTTGAGTGCAGAACTTCACACTGATGTGGAACACTGTGAAAAGATTTACCTTACTGTCCCCAGTTCTGTACAGCTTAAAAACCAGCTTTTCCAAGTCTAGGAAAATATGACAGGTACAGACAGAAATGCATCTCACTTAAGAAATAGAGCACTAGGTTTCTGAGCTAAGCAGTGACCAGTATCTTCTGCCCTCAAGTCCCTCAGGTTGAGGAGCAACCAAGTGGGTGCTGGCTGGCTGAGTCTGTGTATTGGCTGGTTAAAAAAACAAAGAAAACAGAACACAACCAACCACCTCTGTCCTTCAGACTGCTGCCAGGGATCTGTGCCTAGGTCCAGGGAGTAAGGTCTCCCAGAGGTGAACCCAGGCAGATGACCCCCCTGGACTGGTTGCAAGAAGGTACTTGCGGAAGCCTACACCAGGCAGGGCTGGCTGACACACACCACAGAGGCTTCAATTCCCCGGTGTCTCGGGCAGCCAGCACACTTCCCCTCCCTGCTCTCATCCTAGATAGGTTTTTCTTTGTGAAGTACTGAGGGCTGTTCTAGGCACTTCTGAGGCACCAGTGCTCTTTCTTACTGAGGAAAACAGGCTCTTTCCTGAGCCGTGTTTACTTCCATTCCGGGACATGTAGTCTTTCCGTTGAGCAAGAATAACTGGGTGCATTGTAGACTAACCCAGAATTAGAAGGAATTTAGAGTTGAACAAGAAAGGGATGTGGGGGATTCAGAAGATTTTCTGATATAAATTTATCAATGAGCAACCTACTCAGTGGATTTTTGTACCTCAGGGCCGTTTACCTGTTTCTTTGTGTTTGAGTGGGCTGACGGGAAAGAATGAATTTAAGATAATTCTAGGTTGTGGTTCATTTGCTTCTACTTGATGAGTGAGTGTACTGAGGCTGAGCTTTCTGTGACTACTGTCTCAAGCCTGTGCCAAGCAGGCCTTCCTCAGCTGTGTGCTCTCTTCCTAGAGCCAATGCTTATTTGCTGGTTTTCTTCTTCCCTACCTGAAGACTCCTATTCTTATCTGGAGTCCCTGGTCATCCCTGGACAGGAGGTAAGCTCACAGCAACTGCACCCAGCAGCCACGGATCTTGGCATCCTAGTTTTTTGGTTGACTTAGCTCACGTATCCTTTCCATGCCAGAGCCACCAAGGCATCTCAACTGGAATCGTCTAAATTGTCTTTTGATGGGAAATGTCAAGGTGGTACCTAAGAAATGCAGAAATGGCAACAGACAAGTTCTAGGTGTTTGTATGTGAAGGTTTGTATGTACACAGATCCAGCACATGTAGTGAAGACGTAAGTTTTCAGGATATACTACCCACTGAGACCAGGCAGATGAGAATCACTCAGGGTACTATCTTGCCTCACTTGGAAGGGTACCTTCTGGTGTTGCCCACATCTGATCCATGTGTATTTACTTAGGAGGCCAGATTTCTCCAGATTCACCCCAAAGAGAACTATCAAAGGGGCCTGAGGGGCCTGCTCTTCTTGGAGACTCAGGTTTCTTGCATACAAACAGCTGGGATCCTAGGTCCCCATAGCAGAGGGAAATGGGGAAGAATGAATCTTGTGGACTCATTCCCCAGAGAGCCCCAGCCCAGCTCCTGATCCTAACTCCCCGTGTCTGGTCTACTGTGAAGTCTATCCATTGACTTTTCTTGTTTTTGCAGTCGTTTAAATCCACAAGTGTATATGCTTTATTTTATATTATTTATTATGTACATATGCCTCTACTGTTAGTCTGTCATCTGTGACTAAGATACATTCTGCTTTGAAAGCCCTCATCTGTGCAGTCTAGGGTTCTATTGCCCCTTGCTGGGTGAGAGGGCAGTAGGGTTGTTTTGTTTAAAAGAGAAAAAAAATGTTGCTGCTCTTATACTACTGGCTTCTGTTATTGTCTGCTCCCCCACCCCCACATTCCTGATGGCCACTCTTTGGGAGGTAGGTGGAGGCAGGACCTCTCAAGTGTCTCCATGAATTACTGCAGTAGTTTCTTAGTGGCAAGGTCTCTTCCCTGTGTAGTGGTAGAGATGCCTGTAAGATCACAGCCTCCATCCTCACCCTCTACCCAGTCCAGGTCAGTTGCCTGGTCCCCAAATGATGGCCTCTACTTCTCACCTTGAATTTCAGAATCAATCTGTGGACCATGGAAGCTGCCTGCCCATTTGGGCTCTTTCCATGCCTCTTCCTGGTATTATGGCCCAGTGCCAACATGGACTTGGCCCTAAATAAGCTCTGCTTTGTCTGACTTCCATCCCAGCCTTTACTCACTGTATCATGGTGTACATTTCATGCATTTGAGCAGTGGAGTTTTCTGACTATTCAGAGCCATGTAAAGTAAATAAGCACAAGTCAAGTGTATAGGCTTCATGAGCTGATTGTCATAATGAACGCAATTTTATAATTCAAATGTTGTAGATTTACTATCTCCTATTTATTTTGTACCAATTGATTTGTAAATCTTGTGATTGTTTTAAAAAAGGTTTGTTTATTTCTATTATTCTATTTAGATAAATGATTTTCTGTTCACCCTTCTAGCAAATGTGTGTTCCCTCTTGCCCCTTTCATCTGTATAACACCCACAAACCATTTTGTTTCATTCAGCCTTGGACCCCAGCCCAGAGGCTTGGCTTTATTGGTGAGAAAGCCCAGACTGGATCTCATCAGGTCGTCTCCTTTGGACAGATGCTGCAAAGTCTTGTATTCACAGAGAAGCACATACAAATTCAGTGCCTCCCAGTTATAGCCTGTTGGTTTGTGTCCTCCTTTGGAAGGAGGTCTGCCCCCCCATCAGTTACTCTGTAGAAAAGGATACCAGTATCTACTCAACTTGCCTTAGACACCAGCTGCCCTGTTAACTCACAGCGGCTAAGCAAATGGCAACACTGGATTTTCCTAGGCAACAGCAAAGGCTTTGTGCAGGCCTTTTAATTGGCTCTTGAAGAGAGTGGCTCTGTAGACTTCACGGCACGTCACCCTCAATTGATACATACCATGCCACAGTATAGGAGATATGTTAGATGCTCTTCAGGACTAAGTGGTGTCCTACATCCACCAATAATCCAGTCACGGTGACCCTCATCATCTGCCATCATTCCAGATTTTCTATTCCTTTGGAGCACCTGTGACCAGACACTCAAGAGCTTCTGGTCATTTCAAGATCCCTTGGTGGTCCACTACTAGATGCCCCTTTTGGGCTTTTTTTTTTTTTTTTTTTTTTTTTATGGACTAAACCTAGAGCCATGCACATACTAGACAGACACTCTGCCACTGCACTACAACCCCAGTCCTAGACTTTTTCTGATCTGTGAAATCATAAACTCTGAGGACCACTGATCAAGACCAGCTAACTTTCTCTCGTGAGGCCCCTTTTTGGTTTTTTTTTTTTTTTTTTTCTATTTTCTATTTCAAATAAGACCATGACCTGAGAACTGAGCCTTTGACTGGTCCCTTAGAGTCCTATCTGTATTTAACCATGCTTACAGTCTGTTTTACTAACATTTGTCCTGGGAGATAGAGACATTTATTAAAGAACTGTTGACAAGACTGACTTTAAAACTGCCTGACCTATCTATCCATTGTTCCACCTCCTGAAAGGAGAACAAGGCACATCTGTATCTCAGTGAAGTGGCTTCCTGGAAGCCTGCTCACTCTCCTAGATGCAGGGCACAAAGCAGCAGGGAGGGAAGAACCAGTTTTTCCTACTTTGAGGGACTGGCCTGAGCTTTCCCTCTGCCATCTCAGTTGCACTCACGTGCCAGTTCATCTCTAAGCTTTCTTGTGATATGCAAACCTTATGTTCTGCAGAGCTGCTTCTCAGCTCAGTGCCTCTGCAGGAACAAACACAGCAGGAGAGCTTGTAGAGGAAGCGATGGAATAAACTTGGCACAGCATGGAGCTGATTTTTGGCAATTTTATACTTTTCTTTTTCAGTGCTGGGGAGGTCAAACCCAGGGCCTTGCACATGCTAAGTAAGTGATCTGCCACTGAGCTTTATCTCCACTAGTTTATATTTCCTGAAGGTAATTAAACTTAACGATAGACTCGTTACAGCAAAAAAAGAATTATATTAGATTGCTAATTAATTCTATTGCTTTGCAACTACTTTACCATCTCCCTTCCCAGGGCCTCATGCCTGTCTTTATACTTTCAAGAAGTCCCAGGACAGAGGAATAGTTTTATGACCTTTGTTTTAGTAATCAGTGGCATGTCATCTTTCTAGGTACGTGACCCAATGATGTAAGTTTCTAAGGGGGGATGAACTGCATGACCATGGTGAAGTGCTTTTCCTCCTAGTGTTGTGGCTATGAAGTATTTAAAAAGCAGGAAAACACTGGACAGGAATTAGATTGAACCACTTTTCTACACCAGACTTAATAACCACTGGATCAAAAAATGAAGTTAGTTACTTCAAAAATCCCCATACCCACAAGTCAAAGGTTAACTCTGGTAAGCGCCTCTCAATAGTGGCCATTCAATAAACATTAAATACTTTTCAGTGCTAGAGAAGTCTGCTTGGCAAATCCTCTTCCCAAATCTCTCAGGAACCTGGGACTTAGAAGGACTGTTGCTGTCTTCCACAGGAGGAATGTATGCTCTGCAGCAGACGTTCGCTCGTGTAGGAAGGTTGACCCCGCTCTAGTCTTTCAGGCCTTGTCTACAGCCCTTTGGACTTTTTAAATTTTATGTGTATGAATGTTTTGCCTCCATGTATGTAAGTACAGCTGTGGCATGCAGTACTTGTCAGATTTCATGAAACTGGAGTTATAGAGACATGTTTGCCACCATGTGGGTGCTAGGAACTGAACCTGGGTCCTCTGCAAGAGCAGCCGGTACTCTTAACCACTGAGCTATCTGTCCAGCCCTCCCCACAGCCCTTTGGGAAGAGTACAATGGGAAAAAGCAGAGCTCACCTGCTCTTATTCTAATAATAAAATGAGCTCATGTGTTTCATGTGAAGAAAACATCAAGTGGCCATACTCAAAACTGGAAATATTGTTTTAAATTAGAAAATAGAGATTAGTATCCAACTGCAAGTTTGAGATGAAATGTTCAATCAGGTGTATTTGCTGTGTTGAAACTACAGAGAAATTTTGAACTACTGTTTTTACTGCATGCATCATTTCACAATGGGAACGTGGTCTGAGAAATGGATCATTGGGTGATTTCATTGTTGTGGGAATATCACAGTATTAACTTACGCCAACTAAGGTGGTTACATTAGTAGGGCAATATAATTTTGGGGGTCACCATATACGTGGTCTGTTGTTAACTGAAATGTCATTAGTGTCATATGGCTGTTTTATTTCTTGCAATTATGTAGTTTTGTTGGACACGTCTGTCAGATTGCTATAGCCTGAGGCTGAAGGACAGGGGAAAGTGGTTGCAAACAGACACGCCCCATTGTTAATGCTGTAAATGGATGGACTCTCAGATAGCTGTCCTGCCGTGTCTCAGCCCTCAGCGAGAATCATGAGGCGCTGCTTCACTGTTACCGGAGCTGTGTGGCAGGGCCGTGGGCTTCTGGAGTCACCTGGCTCTGCTTTCTGGCTGCGGCATGTGTATGACAGCTCTGCTCCTTACTGATAGTGCACACTTTTATCTTTAATGATCATCGGGTAGCTCCGTGGTCAGGATTCCAGTCTCAGGCCTTCCAAAGCTGTGTATGTTTGAAATTGTTCCATTTGAGGAAAAATTTTAAGAGGAGCTAAATGCCCTAGTCACTAAGAAAGAATGCTGTGAGGAGCTAAGTACTGAGGCCCCAACTGTTAAACCAAGTGGGGAATTAGGCTGCAAATGGTACAGCAATAGATGGCTCATAGTTACCATTTTTCCCACCATCAGTTAAATAGTTTCCATAACATGGAATGTTAGCAAAGTTCCTACCCTAATACAGACTTAAATATGCAGTTGTTTATCTCAGGCTATTTTGGTGAATAAGCAGAGTATTTAAAAGTGCCCAGGAAGCCTTGGAAAAATTGCAGGGCTTTAAAGTTGTTGACAAAGTATTTCTTAAGTAAATAAATCTGATTTAGAAATATCTAAACATGGACAAATTACTTTAAAATCTGAAATGTAACAGCATATGGCTTTTGTAAGTAGCTTCTTAGAAACAATTTTAACTTAAGGATCTGTAGCTTGATTTCTATTTTTATTTTTAAAATTTTAAGGCATCTTAGAAAGGGTAGCTTGAAGAAGCGGGTTTCTTAAGATCTTGGCAAATCTAGCTTATGGGTATCAAACAGATTACTATACTTTCTCTACTTCAAAACTGTTTCTGAAACATCCTATCAATAGTTTAACAGTCCATCTCTGCAGAAATGAGCAGATCAGCAATTAGTGAGAAACTAGCAGGGCCAAGGTCTGCTGTGCTGCTGGCCAGCTGCTCAGAACACCAGGGTCCCTGGAAAGACAAGCTCTAGCATTAGGAGTTCATCCCTTCAGTTCACAAAGAGGGATGTCTGACATTCTACAAAGCCTAACAACTAGGGAGTGTTTTTAGACTCCTTAGGAAAAATATTCTCAAAAGTAATGGAAGAAATGCCATTTTATAGTCTAAACTGTTCAGGTTTACAAAAGAAAATTATTAAGTTCAGTTTTCTTAACTAGGATAATAAAGAATTCACAGTTCATATTTTTAAAAGCCCAATTGGGGCTGGAGAGATGGCTCAGTGGTTAAGAACACTGAATGTTCTTGCAGAAGACCCAAGTTCTGATCCCAGTACCCACATGGCAGCTTACAACTGTCCATAACTCCAGTTCCAGGGGATCTGACAGCCTCTTCTGTCCTCCATGAGCACTGCATGACACGGGTGCACTTACCTACATGTAGGCAATACACGCATACACATAAAATAAATAAAAAAGCCCAAGCACAGCTATGTTGGGCAGACTCCCCCACACATACTTTTGACCACCATGTTGCTCTGGACCTTAGACTTCTTAATGGAACCTTAGCTCTTTAATATTGTGTTCTGGTGGTTCCGAGAAAATATATCACAATAGAGCTTTTATTCCAACAGTGTGATTTTTCACTTCTCAGTCTGCCCCAGAGTCATCTGACTACTAGAGAACTATCTGGCTATAAGAAACTTTTATACAGACGAAATAGGAAAAATGTAGAAAGTGATGTCAGTCCCTGCTCTAAGAGGGAAACACAGGAGCCAGGCGTGACAGAGGCAGGCAGATCTCTGTGAGTTCAAGGCCAGCCTGGTCTACATAGTAAGTTCCAGGACAGCTGGGGCTACAGGGAGACCCTGTCTCAAAAAGACCAAAAAACAAAAGCTAGGGGGCTAGAGAGATGGCTCAGTGGTTAAGAACACTGACTGTTCTTGCAGACAACCCAGGTTCACATCCCAGCACCCACATGGCAGCTAACAACTGTCTGTAACTCCAGTTCCAGGAAATCCGACAGCCTCTTCTGACCTCCTCAGGCACTGCACGACATGGGTACACTTACCTACATGCAGGCATAACACTCATACACATAAAATAAAAATATTTTTTTTAAAAAGCTGGATGTGGTGGCACACACCTTTCATCTCAGCAGAAGCAAATACATTTCTGTGAGTCAAGGCCAGCTTGGTCTACATAAGCAAGTTCAAAAAGTGGTCCACCTCATAGTTCTGTGTGCCAAGAAACTTGGTGAAAAGCATCTTTAGGTCTATGAAGCACTATATATATAATAATGTTAGACTATACCAATTCCTTAGTATTCCTTAGTATTTTTAACCAAAAGTCATATGGACATGTTTAGCAATTTTGAAAATGTGTATTTCCCTTAACAGAATGTGGTCAGCTTTCATAAGCCAAAACTAAACACCTCTTGAAGACCAATAGCTATTAGAGTTAAGCTACACAGGGGTCAAAGTCAGTATTAGAAATATTACTCTTTATTGAATTCTAGAGCAGCTAATCTATCCTCCCCTACTGACAAGAATGGAAGAAAATACATGAAAGTTAAAGAATCTGAAACTAAAGTGTTGGAAAAGCTCCCCTGTACCAGTAAGGCGCACATAAAGCCTTAATGTTTACAGTAATGCTTCGTGCTTTTTCAAAGCAAGAAGTAATTTCTCTCAGGATTCTAAAGTGAACTTATTTTCACTGATAATGCCTTTGCTATATAGTAAGGTTCTTGTCTTCTAATGTTCAACTTTCAGAACACATCAATCCTTGAAGACAGAAATGTGGAATTGGGTGGCAGGAACCACAGATGTAGTCCACACTGATGAAGCTGGCTCCTGCTCTAAGGAGACAGCTGCTTCTCCACTTTATTGGGGACTTGCTCCTTTGTTGTCTTTTAGCTGAACTGTTTTATAGATTTATCACAATTGAGGAAAAAAGATTGTTTTTAATATAACAAAAAAGCATTTGTGCTACCAACTTAAAAAATGTAGAAAGGATGAGGACTTTGGCCTCAAAATCAAATCCCTGCAAGCTAGTCCAGAAATCACCCTAAAGCAGAAAATACCTATGAAGGCACTGACACAACAGCAGCCCTGCTGAGGCCACTGAGGAAACTCAAAAGTATAAAGGGAACTTGACCTTGACAGAAGACTACACTTGATAATGAAAACGATGTATTTCTCCACTGATACACAATACTGTGTAATGCACTGGAAAATGTGGGATTTTGGAGCAACAATAGCACAATTTTAATAGCACAGCATTTTTGTGTCACTTCTTCCCACCAGTCTCCTTATTCCACTCTGAAACCCTTTACCACCCTTAGTGTAACCAGATGACATACTGATGAAGAAACACAAGGAAACAGTGCCACAAGCCATAATGCTGCCATCTACATGCAGTTCAGCCTGACTTTTTCTTCCAATACAATTTCAAACCATCTATAAAGAATTCAGATACACAAAACTGAAACAAGTATCTCTATGATTAGAGTATTTTAAAGCCTTCAGAAACTTTCCAGACATACCTTTGATGGAGTCCCCCCACCCTCCCTAGTAGAACCCAAACAAGGACATCCTTTGCCCTGTGAGTCCTGCCAGCACTTGTTTCATGGGTGTTCAGGGTTTTGGTTTTCCTCCTTATTCTTCCTCCTCCTCCTCCTCTTCATCATCATCTTCATCATGGCAGTGTGTAATTTCCTGGGGAGCCAGTGGAAAGAGGTTGGGGGGTTTAATCTCACTAATGGACCTTGTCAGCTGGTGCCGCTTATTATAGTCAGTGTCTTTGAAATCCACTGACGTGCGGTTCCGGGTGGCAAGGGGGGATTCCATCTCATTGATATCTACATGTGTGTGCTCCACTGTTGATTCATGAGGCATCTGGAAAAGAGAGGCTCAGATTATGGACAGAGCAAAGATACCTGTTTTCCAAATCCTAACCTCTCCCCTCTCCCAGGACATGCAGCGTTGTATCTGTGAGGAACCAGAGATGGAACTACCTAAAGCTGCCTGGATCATTTACTACAGCCTGGAAATGAATAAAATCCAAGAATCCCATTTCCTAGTTTTAGGCCCCAGAAACCAGTATTGGAACAGATCAGTATCAAAACATGTTCTTAAAAACCACATATATTACATATATTTCATTTAGTACTAATAGATTTGTTTATTTTTGGCTTTTTGAGATAGTGTTTTATGTAGCTGAGGCTTGCCCTGAACTCCTGATCCTCCTGCCTGACTCTGGAGATTTTAGGTGTAAACTGCTGCAACGTACTCCTAGGAGGAGTATTCACCATATATTGTAATTTCAGAAAGTAATGTTATTCAGTAAGGGGCTATCTTAGTATATTTTCTTGTGTAACCACATAAACTGTTCAGTTTTTGCAAGAAGTGTCTCCCAAGTCTTTTGCAAAGCTGGTTGCAGATCTTAACACCAGAGGACATCTTAACTATCAAAAATAACTTTACTTACCAGGACATGGGCAGCCCTAAAGAGGTAGCTGAAGGGGTAGTAGAGCAGGTTGATGAAAGATGCTGCATAGAGGTCAGCATAGCGCATTACTTGACTGGCAAAGAGTGTCTGCCGGGAGCCACTACGAAAAAGGCTTCCCATCATCCCGTAGCACATGTCCATGTCATGAGTTACTTTCTTAA